CATCTGATGGTGTAACCTGTGCCCATGTACGGATTGTTTCCAGTACGTCGAGGCGCGAGGACTTTTCCGCTGCAGCACTGGCATATCCGCAATTGTTCGAATTCGACAAGTACAAACGTACAAAAATCGTCAGGAAATCTTTGGCCGTGCAATTTAACACACACCGACTTTCTTCGTCCTGGGCATTGGTACCGACCACTCTTCGCAATGCAAGCAATAAACAAGGTCGAATGTCTGCTCGGTGGATCAAGGCCGTTCCTATGATGGGAGCCAGGTCAGGAAATGACTGGACAAAGTCCGTTGGAGAGGTGCAAAACGCCGGCAGCAGATCCCACATTTGCCACTGCATGATGTTAAGAACGCGAACTGTGCGGCTTTCAGCAACGCTGCCTTGTTTCTCCAGTTCATCGACACGGGATTTTATTTTTACAGCCAATGGGAGAAAATAAGATATAAAATATTTCAGGCGGTCTTTTCTGATCGAATCTCTCAACACGGGTAGAAGGAAGGAGCGCGGGAAATCTAAACTCATTTCTGGGCTTGTCTCATTTATCTGCAAAGGTACGAGAGTGAGCAATTTTTCAGCACCCAGACGCGCAGCGACCGTGCCGAAAATCTTGTCTATTGCCTTAGCAAAATGAACCATTTCTGTTTCGCGCGAATCAGCCAGCGTCTCAAGACAGAACTTCAGATTCTCAGAGCCGACCCCCAGCTGTCCATGGCTTTCGAGGAAAAGTTGAAATAAACTGAGGATATCCTTCATGATGTGCATGTAATCAGCGATGGTGAGTGTCGATTTTAAACACGACAGCAGTTCGTCGGCGACGGGCACCGTGTTATCAGAACCTCCGTATGCGACGTATTCGATTATGGTTCGTTTCCATACCTGGATGACGGTCGCAACGACCTCAGATGAATCTGAATTCAGCAGTTTCAGCGTACTATGCATAAACTTGACGCGAAACGCGGTGCCTAGCTGAGGGTCTTTCTCGTACAGACACAAGTGCGCCTCATCCATAACGCACAACCACGCAGTCAATGACGAGGAGTCTTCGACAGGCGGCTGGAAATCGTACAGGGCGCAAATCAGCTGCGCATTCAACTCCTTTGGCATGGTCGATTTAGTAGGCCGCATTCGGAATACGTGCAACAACACTGTGATGACTGTAGAGGATATAACTCGATCACCGACGGTCATTAAGTGGAACATTGCCTCACACACCTGCTTCACCATCTCGGATGTGAATCGGTGTAACACATAACGCAGCAGGTTCAAAGTGCAAAGAACGAGAGACCGCTGGCTAGAAGGGATACTGGCAGCATGTTTAAGCGATCGCAGACAAAACTGGGAACACACCTTCGCTGCCACCTTATTTTCAGGGCCCGATGAGACAATCGAAGCGACAGCCCCTTGAGCTGCCTTGCGTACCGAAGGCTTTGGAGTTACGATGAGCATCAGCATCGATTCAAGCAATCTCTCATTGCTGCTGCATTCCCAGATGTCTGCTGGTTGTGCGCTGAGCAGAACGCCAAGGCATTTCAATAGGTAACGAACACCTTTGTCGTTAACGGTCGTCATAAGCACTGGCAACAGTGGATGCAATACATCGATGATTTTCGCAAACTTGTCAATCAAGAGTGCTTTCGGTACTTTATTGATCACCAGACTGAGCAGATAGAGTTCAGCGGCAACGACTGAGTTTGGTTGGTCAGCATTGGTTAGCGACGACAAGAGAGCCGCAAAGTACTCCACCTCATTTTCCTCACCACCCTTGCCTTTTATCACCTCAGTGACGGCCGCTAAAACTGACAGAACCGATTCCTGAAGATCTGATCCAGATCTGAAAAACGGGTGCAATAGATTATGAGGAAAAGGCGACGATGACAGGCTCTTTATAGCATACGGTCAGAAACAAAAACAAAAATGTCATTATCAACGGATCGTCTTCCTGACGCATGGCTAGGAAATCTAAATTCAAAACAGAGTGGAACAGTTTTACTAGCAGCCAACGCATTTCGTTACCAACCTCAGTAATATCATCAGGAGTAAGCAGTCAAAACATCAAAACTGATGTCACCAGTGATGGCAACGAAACGCGACAACTATTAATAGAACGCCTTCATCTCTGCTGCACGTTTCGATTTTCTAACAATGCGTCAAGAAAATATCCGTTGATCAATCATGGCGCAAGAATCAAAAGTCTTTCAAGAAAAATCAAATTATATGAGCAGAAAATGCTAGAAATTGCTAGAAAAAGAATTACCAGCTACCGACCAGTGGAAAAGAAGCAGTTTTAAAAGCATTACGAATGGAGCGAATGCCGCCCTGTGGTTTTTCACATTAAGAAAATCTATTCTAGATTCATCTCCAGTACTATTATGGCTGCCTAGCGATAGCATATAACCGGGAAGGTTTGATTTTCTTCTCGTTCGCCAAAACCTTTTCTCTCCTCTCAAAATCTCAAAATCCAAAATCTCCCATCAGTCAGGAATCAATCAGTTCCGTTAATATGACGGAATCTGCGGCAGTTCCTGTGCACCTACGTCTGCACATAACCATAATTTATATCCTATTCATAATTATAAAATAAACTTAATTAGGATTATGCCTCGCTAAACAGCATTTCCGTTTCACTAGCCTACAACGCAACAAGCACCCACAACAGTGAATGCCAACCATCTTATGGAGAGTGAAGAATAACTAATAATAGGAAGTTGGTACGATAAGGAGAAATAGTGCGCACTCCAAGGCTATGATAGAGATGCAGTTCTGCTATGAAACAGGATTAAAAAAGAAATTAAAAATAAAACAAGAATTAAACAAAAAGAAAACTGTTAATGAGGTTTATACCTGTTGTACACACCTATAAAATTTTAAAATAGAATATCCAAGTCTAACGAGCGGAGGTTGGGAGCTACCGAATCCTTCTAGAACTGCTCAGATGTCTACGTCTCTATATGGCAAGAATTATAGCATGAAGATAATGCTTGTCAGTGTGCGCATTGGTCTCTGGCAAGGGCATATGCTATCTTTTCACTTGTTCATAATTTTATTGTTCGGATTAGTAGTTGTAGTGGGGCACAGCTGAATCAGTGAGAGAAATTTATACATCTCATAGTAGCATTTATGACTTATGGGAGGCAAGTCCTCGAAATAGACACATGGATTGGCCAAGAGAGTGCTGCACTGCGGGAGCTAAACTGGTCTTGGCGACGAAGGAGTTAATTCATGGTGTGAAGCTGTCAGTAATCCACTATGATCCATGATCATGACTGCTGGATATTGATCGAAAAAATGAGATCTCGGAACAAGCAACAGAAATGATATTTCGAAGGATTGCAGAGAGAGGAGATTCGACAAAGACCGCAACACCACAGCGTGAGATACTTTTGCCGTGAATCGCTTCTGGTCGAGAGCTCACTATAGCGATGGTTTACTCATGTTACGAGGATACCAGAGGAGAAATCGCAC